CTCATATGGTTTGTTTGCAGAGTGAGATATGATGGGCCTATTAAGAAAAAAAAAAATTGATATATGAAGACCTGTCCACATGTACTGCTTTCACATGGACTTTCTACCAGGAATRTCCTTTTAAGATTAGATTTGGAATCTCACTGAAAGTTTTTCCACACTGAAAACCATTTAAATTTTTTCCAGCCTACTACATGACTTCTATTAAAAAATTACAAGCACAATTTATGGTTGGCTGGACTTACACAATTATTAAGATCAGTGAAAATACTGGTTTTCTGGCATGTCTAAACCATATGAAAGTCAATATCATGATTACTTTACAACACTGCTTCTCCATAGTTACTACTTAAACAGTGGTATCATGAATGCAGTTTGTTAGTACTATCAACAAATCCATTATTTTAAAAACAATAAACATGTATCTTACATTACAATTCATATTTGGTGAAAAAAGAATAAACAAAATTCATATCATGTATATTTTCTTGTTTGTAAAATTATAGGACATGCTAGATTTCCCTCAAGGCACTCTGTTTCCTCTTGTGAGTACAAATTACCTTAGATTTATCCCAGGATATGTGTTCTGATCTTCAACATTGTGGTCCTCCCATTTGTCTCCTAAAATGTAGACCCAAAACAATCATTATGAATGACTTTAGAATGAATGGGATTAAAAATTTGGACAATAATGCACTAATAAAAAGAGATGAAAAAAGGGGAAAAAAAGAATTCTGGTATTTAAGCTGCACAGTGAATTGATGTTAGGCCCAATTTATTCTCCAAGTACTCCCTTTCTATATTCCAAATATAGGAGGGCAAAAAACTCCCAGGTGCTTTGTCTTTCAATATGTAATGAAACATCATGCTTACCTATAGAAGCCAGGTTTCTAAGAACTTCCTGCATCACATCTCTGTAGAGATTCTTCTGGGAAGGATCCAGCAAAGCCCACTCCTCCTGGGTGAAGTTCACAGCCACATCCTCAAAGATCACTGAATTCTAGAATATGCCACAAAAATGTAGTGCAGACCAAGAGAGACTGACAACATGAGGGCTGTATTCTCAACATGTAAGAATATGTTTCTGTGGTCTCCAAATATTTATTCCATGATTTGGTCATTAAAACTTGTACTCTCTGCCTTCACTGCTTCAAAAAGAGTCATTCCAAAATAAGACTTGAACTATCCAGAAAATCATCAGCAGAGCAAAACACCCATCTCATTGTAAAGTCCAGGGAGCAAGATATGGCCCTGTGTCACCTCTAATGTCTTTGTAGGGTTCTCATCTAATGTGTAGAAGAGCACTAATATTAGACCTCCTGACCGGACCTATACTTGGAAATCCCTGCTGAAAAAGTTGTACTTTAGCTGGTAGGTGGAGCTAAAGATTTGAGATGATTTCACCAAACTAACCATTTACACTGAGTCATAGTGATTGAGAGTATGTAAACAACATGGTATTTACTAAACATTCATTTTACATTTGAAATCCTGTTATTTTGTCCCACTCTTATGTTAGAGCCTAAAGAATCAAAGTACCCCCACACCTCAAAAAAGAAAAGAAAAAGAACCCTTTAAGAGAAGACTCTAAGAGTAGATATTGCATTGATGTGGTCACAACATGGTAACTATGGATTGAGCTCATCCTTTGTGATTACACTAAGAGAACAAGTTGAATATGTAGGTGCTTCACTCCAAATAAAATTTAACCAAATAATAAACAAAAACAATTAGTAATAAACAACTTGATAATATCTTCCAATTAATATCAAAATACAATGAGATGAATGTCAAATACCTTTTCTGACATTTATCAAACAAAATTCCCATTAATCAACATACTTGTCCAGGTATAATAAGAATTAAGAAATGTGTAACATCTATCAATATGTTCTAGATAGCAGACTGTTGGTTAATATGATACACACTCATGTGCCTCATAACAATGTTTTGGTCAAAGACATTTTTGATTAATTATGGCTTACATATACATGTTTAACTGTAGTAAAATGATTACTAATGTGTTTGTAGTGATAGTGGTACAAACAAATCTAATGCATGCTAAACTTTGGTACCTTGTCAAGTAAATGCTGTGCAGGGTTKTAGCCTAGGGAGCACTGACACCGTAGAGCCATGGTATTTAATAGGTCATTACTTCTAGGACTGTGAATACACTATGGTGTTTGTGCAATGGTGAGCCAGCCTAAAAACACACTTCCAGAATATAAAAGTGACACCTGACTATAAATGAAGAAATTTTAAATTATACTATTGGACTTAGCATAGTATTAGCATGGAGAAGAACAAAGAGACAGACCAAGAGAAGAGAAAATTTTCAGTGGCTTGAAATTCACATGGAAAATTGAATAATGACATAGAAGGTATTATGGAGAAGTGAACACATTCACATGCAATTTAAAAGATAAGTTAAAAATAGGCTGGGAGCTGGGCGCAGTGGTGCACACCTGTAATCCCAGGGGCTTGGGAGGCTGAGGCAGGAGGATTTTGAGTTCAATGCTAGCCTCAACAAAAGTGAGGTGCTAAGCAACTCAGTATCACCCTGTCTAAAATAAAATACAAAATAGGGCTTGGGATGTGGTTCAGTGGTTGAACACCACTGGGTTCAATCCTCAGTTAAAAAAAAAAAATAGGGCTGGGGATGTGGCTCAGTGCTCAAGTGCACCCGAATTCAATCCCCAGTATGGAAAAAAAGGGCGGGAGAATTAAAAGACAAAAATAAGTGGGGGATGTAATGAGATGAATAAATGCATGACCGAAATGAAAAAGAGCCAGGAATAGGAACAGAAGTAGAAAGCTGCATAAACATGTTTTAGAAATTATATGCAATATCTTGCACAATAAAAAGTACAAAATATTTCTGAAAAAAAATGATACAAGTAAAAATATTTGGTGTTTGTGAGCATAAGGAATTGTACATCTATCCAAATATTAACCACAAAGTCAGTTCAATCACTTTCAAATTAGCAACTCACTTTTGGAGACTTTTAGCTTTTAATTTGTTATCCTTCTGCCTCAGCCTCTCAAACCTTTGGGACTGCAGGTATGTGCCACTGTGCTAAGCACCAGTGCAATTTTTATATAAAATAAGAAGTATCATTCTAATGTTCACATGAAATTGCAAGAAACTTAAAAATGGAAGAAGAAAAATAATGTGACAAGCATCACATTTCCTGATTTCAAAACCCACTCAACTATACTATTAAAGGCAGAGACACACAGCAATGGAGGAAATTAAGGGACCCAGGCAGGCCAGTGTTGACACACAGAAGAAAATGATATTCCTCAGGGTCAGGCTAGGGGTCCAGGACCTCTGTATTAACAAACGGGCAGGGAAACTGGATGTTCATGTTAACACCTAAAGTCCGACTCCCCCCTCACAACACATGCATACATGAAATCCACGTGGACCAAAGTCCTGAAGTAAGATGTGAACCTCACACTTCCTATAAGAAAACGTAGAGCACACAATACCGGATATGGGAATGGTATCTGAGATATAATACCATTCATATCAATCATGAGAATAATAGATAAAATTTGATTTCACCAAAAATAGTTTTCAGTCCTGTCATTTAGAGCAATGAGACTGGAACTATGAATACCATACTAAGTGAAATAAGGCAGGCAGAGAGGGACACACTGTATTTTATCACTCACATGGGGAAGTTGCAAGTTGATTTCACAGAAAGTACGAGGGAGTAGTCACCAGAGGCAAAAAAGAGAGGTGAGACAGGACAGGGAGGGACTGGAAAAAGAAGCTGCTGAGTATCAGGTACCAGAATTTACTCCAGAGGGGCCAGCAGTATTGCCCTCCAGAACATAGGTGACCACAGTACACAGCACGTCAATCTGTATTTCATAATACAGCTGAGGGAGCAGTCCAGAGACACAGAAAAATAAAAAATATTAGGAAATGGAAGAGCTAATGCCCTGATCTGTTCATGGCACACTGGAACAGGTGTGCAACTTAAAAGTGAATCAACACTTGAAAGTAAAAATGTTGTCCTTCATTGGACACCATCAGCAGAATGAAATGGCACTCCAAGGAACTGCATCACGCATCTGGAGGTGTTGATACCTGAAAGAATGAAGAAAAAGCAGATGACAAAGCTCAAGCCATCTTCACAACATAAACAAGCACCTGGAAAAGAACTTAACACTCTGAAAAGCCAGGGGGATCTACAAATCCTGAGGCTATGTAAGGATGAAAGGCTGTCTCCATGATAATAAAAACAAGTCAATTATAGACAAGAGCAAGAGGGGTGCTACCAGGGAAACCAGGAAGAAAATCACAGTATTCCAGACCTCAGAGCAAGCTCACATAGCCCCAAACATTGAGGCAAAATCAAGGACTCTACCAAGAAGATACAGGTGGATGCAGGCAACAGAGACTCAGATTTACTCACCTGCAGAGACAGCAACCACAGGCAACAAGATGGGAGAAGACAGTGCAGCCTCTGCAACTGTCACCATAGAATCCACTTGGAGTGAGTATTTGACTTGTATTTCTGGATTCCTGCTCACTAGAGTCTACTGCAAGTGGACAGGRGCATTTGATGGGGCATCTTCGCCGCAACACCTACCAAAAGCCTGCTACATAGGGGGAAATCAATACTTAAGAAGTTGTGAGGCTCTAAGACACACAAATACACATAGGCCTCACACAAACCTCCTCACAGGGCCATGACCACTCAACTTTCAAATGCTGAAGTGACCATCTCCACTTCATATGTCACAGCAGTGGCTCCTGGACCCCAAGCCTTTTCCCAAAGTTGATAAAACCCAAATGAGTCCACAATGAAGGTACACATGAAATCCTGAACTTCAAAGTTTACAGCAGCAGGACAAGTGGTGTTCAAAACCTGGAAGTACCTAATAGGAAAATGTGTGCCCAAGGTCAGCAGTGAAAAAGACAAGACACAAAACTCAATAAAAATCAATTAGTAATAAAAAAATCAACTTCTATATATATGAAAGGAATTACTGAAATGCAATTAAGAGAAAAGTTCATTTACAATGGAACCCCTCCAAAATAGAAAAAATAATATGCAATACAAAACATATATGCATAATATATACATAATACTATATAATACAGCAACCGGAGCACCCAGAGTAGGGCTCAGTTCACTGACTACAGAGGGAACAGGGAAGGACTTATCTGTGAATTACTGCATTTACATCACAGAGGACCTAGTGTGATCTGAAAGTCTGTAACAAGCTTCTCACAGTTTTGCCTCATCAGAAGACAACTGGTGTAGCAAATTAGTGGAAAATGCTTAAACATGTTTTTTTAAAAAAACAAAATCCTACATCTGGTTAGACGTTTAAATGAAAAAATACAATATAAAGTGTGAGAGAAAAAGGTAAAATAAAATATATTCTCAGAAATTGGCATATTAAGGCTGTTATGTTAGCACACAGGTCCAATCCCAGTGACTTGGGAGGCTCATGTGGAGAATCACAAGTTCAAAACAAACCTTAGAACTCAGCAAGTTCCTAAACAATTTAGAGGGAACTTGTCTCCAAAAAATAAAACAGAGCTGGGGATGTGGCTCAGTGGTTCAGCATCACGAGGTTCAATCTGTGGTTGAAAAAAAAAAGAGTATTCAGGTGGGCTCAGTGGTGCATGGCTCAAATCCCAGGGATTTAGGAGGCTGAGGTGGGAGGATCACACTTTGCAGTCTACCCTGGGATACCAGTGAGAACCTGACTCAAAATAAAAAAAATAAAAAGACCTGGGGATGTAGCTCAGTAGTAGAGTATCCCTTGATTCAATCCCTACTACAGAAAAAATTTAATAAGTGAATGTTCACCAGCACCCAGGTATACCAGGGAACTAAGGAAGCCCACCCATGCCAAACAGAAACCTTTCAGAGAAGACCAAGACCTACATGCCCAGCACTGGCTGCCCTCGAGGTTCAGGTCTTCAGAGAACTGAGGCTGAAGTGGTTTTAAACARAACGACCATGTGTTAAAGCAGCAGCTCCAGCACAAATGTCCACAGAAAAAGGAGATGAGCTCTTGTTATTCTTCTGTTTTCTTTCCAGCTATTTCTTCATGGAACTCCATCAAAACTTAGGCTCAACAAAAGCTAAGAGAGGCCCTCTGAGTACACTGAGCAACTAAACTACTGTCTCCAAAAATACTCTAGAAAGTCACTACACATAATAACAAACAAGAGCAAACTCTGAATAGAGGGAAAAACTGATTTCAGAGGAATACAATATTCAAATACCCACTTTGCAAAAGTAACAAAATAAGGAATACACATAAAGAGCAAAGAACATCTCATCAATGAGGAAAAAAATGCTTGAGTTAATCCACTACTGAGAAAACATAGACACTAGACTCACTAACAAGACTTAAAACCAA